TTCTTTCTTCCTCTTTCCTTGTCCCCCCCCCCAAAAAAAAAAGCATGTTTTGTTGAGCATAATACTTTAGATCTATTTTTTTATATAGTGATGCCTTTAGCTCATAGAAGTTTTATTTTATTTGTAAAATGACATTTTAAATTAGCGGGAAGTTTTAGAGGTTTGCTGAGTATTTATAGTAAATAACTACACACTACAACTGTTGAGCTTCCTCTTAGAAACACTTATATAACTCTTGACCTCATGTAGGCTTAGTAGTGCAGGAGGAATTGTCATGTAGTATATTTTTTTTTAACAAGCATTAACTATCGAAATGTTCCATTTTGAAATATAACCTGGAAACGAATTTTTTCTTAAATATGTTTTCTGTTTCCACAATGTTTTGCCAGGTAAGGTTGGCAAAAATAGCCTCTTGATTTGTAAACTTTGTAGTTCATATATTATGGTTTATGGATCTGCTGAATATTTATGCATTTAAATTCAGTGAAATTCTGATTTTCTTTGAAGTGATACTTGATTTTCTTTGGTCTTTTAGTGTTTGTTTAAATGATTTATTTACTATTATGAGCGTTTTCTGGAAAGAAATCAGGCCAGTTCTACGTGTTGGAGAAGGACTTGGCTATAATGCCTGGGGTTCAGTGGGCTGCAGTTCTAATTACCTCCCTTCTCTTGTCCATTTCTGAGTGAAATGCTCTTAAAATTTTTCTTCCCCTAGATGAAAACAAGTTTTTTATCTGGTAATGTAAAAAAAAAGTCTTTTTAAATCACTCCATTGATTACCAAAATAAATTAATGAGTTAGGATAAGCCTGAAATATTTTTTTAATTAACAGAAATGTGTGATGTGTCCTGAGTATGGAATAATCTGTTTCTAATTCCTTTCAAACAAAGCTAATTTGGTGCAAATAGTGTTTTTCTACAAGTATATAATTGTACTGTATGTTTCATAATGTATTTATGCCATAATCCCATTTCATATGAGTTCAGCTACTCTTCATTTTACTTTTATTCTTTCTGGTTTCTATTCTGGTTGTTACTGTTTTTAGCAGATACTTTTCTTCTGTATTATCTGGCTTTTCCTTTTTGACAGCATTTCCTCATCAAAACAAATTTTGTGATGCTTGACACCAGATCAAACTTCTGATCTTAAAATGCATAAAAAAAAGTTGTGATGCTTGACACCAGATCAAACTTTTGATCTTAAAATGCATTAAAAAAGATTGTTATCTGTGAATAGTTCATCAGTCACAAATCTCCTTGCTATTAGAAAACATAAATGTAGGGGTAAACGTATTTTAATATGAACATAGTGTGCTATTTGTCCATCAGTTAAGAATGACAAATGGAGCTGAGTCTTCACCATGGCTTTTGGGAATTGATAGTTGATGACTACGTGTTCTCTTTTGCCTCTTTATACGTTTGTCTTCATGAGCCAGTTTTTATAGAACTGTGCATGGGGAAATACATATTGTTAGTTCTCAACGTACAAGATACTTCCTAGAAGTCTTTTATGCATTTTGTTAATTAAATATTAATATAAACAATTGAAAACAACTACAGATGTAAGTATTGAGGGAAAAAATGAGCAGAAAAACCACCCGTGAAAGGCATATGTGGTATGTTAGTCATGTTAGCGTTGAGATTGAATGGTGGAATAGGTTCTTTCAACGCAGTCGAGGAAGTTTTGGAAGTTTTTGCCTGTTTTGGTGGTGGACTGCATGGCTGGGCCTGCACTTGAGGACATGTGGCCCAGTTCCAGCTCAGAGGAGCGAACACAGGTTTTTTGGTGATCGGAGCCCACTGTGATCAACTGTGAATGCAAACAGCGACACAGGGCAACAGACCACCTGCATTAAAAAGGCCTTTGCATTCATATATTCATATAAGAAAGCACATGATCGCATTTTTGGCTGTAAAATGGTGTTAACAGCCATCCAGGTGCTATTGGAAAGTGAGGTTTTTTTTTTCATTCTGTAGAATTGACATTGATGGGACAAATCTCAAGAAAACTCTGTGAGCAGCCCAAAGCATCTATGTTGTGTGAACATAAACCACTTTCATTTGCAAGGAGCAAGGCCTAGAGTGTAATGAGATATATATATTTTTTTTCTTCAATTGTTTTATTAAAACTTTTTGGAATTCTTCTAAACTGCAAGCTTCCAAAAGAATGTTTTGTTCCTTCTCATGCTTTTCTCCCTTTCACTCTTTTGTGGTGTTTTCAGAAGGAAAAAAAAAAAAAGAAAAAGAAAAAAAGAAAAAGTAACCCTAATAATTTTTCTTAATAGGGTTTATAGATAGTGGTATGATTACTCATTAGCAACATAAACTGCTTCCATTTATCACCAGCTTTAGAATTATTTTGGTGTGTTCAATAAACGTGTTTCTTTTGCATGGTCGTTCAGAAGAGACGTGGTGTTCTGGTGCAATGTGGAGATGGATTTTGTTGGGACGCTTCTGGGTTGATGATTCTTTGAGCAGTTAAAAAGAGAACATTAAAATATTTCTAGCCTTGAGCAGATTTGTGTTGGAGCACAAACTCATCTCTGGTGCCATCCTGGTACATTTTTTTTCCTACAGACAAGAAAGCTGCCTGCAAAGAGAAAATTTTTGTTTTTGAATCTTGCAAGGACTTGATACAGGTCCCTTCAGGCCGAGTACGTATTATTGACAGACTGGGGGCCTCTGAGGGTCTCAGAGGTACGACCATTTGTATCTGAACGATTAAAATCTAACAGTTTGTTCAGAATGGATCTTTCCCTGTTCTGACTACTGAAATTAGAAAAGAAAGTATCCATTCAAAAACGGGAGACTCGTTTCCATCTGTCATCGTAACAAATGGCTTTGTTTTTACATGGCAAAACATTTGTTTCTGTAACTAATACGGACTAATTGTTTTTTCATGAGTTTGGAAACTGGGTAACCGAGTTGACAGAAAGTCTGTTCTGACTTACGAAGTGTGAGGAAGGCTCGTTCAACAGTTGCATCCTTGATTAACCTTGGACGAGTAATTCTTGCTGTTTAAGTACATCTCAAAGCTTCTCCCTTGTACCTTCTGTCCGTTGTTTTATTTAAATTTTATCTTGAAGAGACTGAATGCAGGTCTCTGTTTAGTCTCTTCAGAGGTTATTTTACAGAATGCAAACGTCTTTAATGTTAGAGTACATTTCTCTATTTTCACACAACTTGGAAGGCGAAAATGGAGAGGGCTGTTATTTAGCATTTGTGAATCTCAACTGTACTGGAATGTCCAACCTGAATGCATTTTGAGCTTGCCTTCCATATATTTTGTTATTTTTTTTAGAAAACTAGGAACTAATATTTAGGAGGGGAAATATTGAAGATCTTTGTTCATATTGCATATAATTTCTCGTTTGCTTGTTACTAGTCTTCACTTGCAACCTGAAATTTATGATGGCGCTTGCTTTTGTAAAGATAAGAAAGGCATTAAAAGTTTTGCTTGAAATTAAATAGATTTACTACTTCACCTTTGGACTCATATTTCCAAGTGCATAAATAGTATACTGCAGAGCTTTTATGCTGCTTTCATCATCACGGCAATAACTAATATAAGCCTTTAAATGGTTCTAGGAGTTACACGTGCTTGCTGACTGTTTCTTAGCCCTCAGATCTGTTTGCATCCATGGAACACTTCCAAGCACCTTCAGTGCAAACAGATTTGAGATTGACAGCTCATAAAAAATGAAGTGGGTGCTCGGGTTTGGCTTGCAGGATTTTTCTGTAAATACATGCCAACATCCTATGCTACAAGCTGATTTTTACTGAAAGACCTGCAGGTCAATGAAAAAATGTCAAATGTCTCAAACGTTTTGGCGAATGGAGCATTGATGTGCATGTGATTGCAGTGCAGAGTGCCTTTGTCATGTTGTGGAATGGACAGGGAGAAAAATGCACAAGTAACACAACAATCAGAGAATTAAATTATCCGTGCTTGCTTGTAACCTATAGAAATTCTCACTTGCCCACTAAAGCCTGAAACTGCATGTTACCTTGTTGGGAGATAAGGCTTGACTTTCCAAGGTATGTGCAATTGAAGGAGATGGGTGCTCTACATTCCAGACCCCTGGGATGACCATAATTTCTTTGCTTTTTTTCCTCTCATCTTTCTTTTGCATATTAAAATGGCAAGTTAATAAGGCACACTTTTTTTTCCAATGTGTGAGTTATATATGTATATATGCCTGGATTTGTATGGATGTGGGTACACATATGCATGTATGTATATACATATATATGTGTGTTTACATGCCAGGAGTAGTCTGCCAGTTTAAATAGACCAACCTTGCCTAAAATGACAACAGCTGAATGACATAGAAGGGTGGCAGCTGAGGCCTCTTGCTAAAATGACAGCTTGTTAATCTAGTTTGGCTTTTCTCCATGCAATGAATTTGTATCTGTTTAATGCAGGTCATATTTCCTCCCCTACTCCTAGCTTTCCTTCTAACCCACTAAAAGCTCCTTTAAAGGATTTTATGTTAATAAACAGAACTGCATGCTATATTGTAGATCTCCTGAAATAATTAATGCCAGTTTCTTCTGTATGTTTTTCAATGAAATATTTGCTGCTGAGAGATTTTTAATGTGCAGATTCACTAGAAGTAAAGCACATTGTTACTTTGCTAGGAAAAAGAAACCAACTTACTGGAAAAGTGTATGTTAAATCATTCTTTTCTTAGATCTTTTATGTGCAGAGCTTGAAACCTTGTTTGGCCTAAATGTTCCTTTTAACATATGACCATTAAATTGTGGACTAGGCATAAAGTTGAAATACTTTGTCCATAAATTAAGTTCCTTTTATTTACCGAGATAAAACCAGGAATGAGTTATTTATGAAATCTTTACCAGCAAGACTAGTTGAAAGAGTAAACACTGGTAACTCTTACCTCCTTTTTATTTTTTTCTAGCTTGTTTTACTAGTGTTCCTCTCTCCTTAAGTAAATGAAATATGTCCCATGTCTTGGCATGGAATAGAATATTTTTGCCATGGTGCAAGGTTGCAGGCCGAGCAATGGCTGGGTACAACTAGGGTGCTATAAAACTGTCCTCGTGAGAGGATTGTGCCTTAGTGGATCCTTTTCTAGACTGGACACTGCTGCAACCCTTTTTGTTTTTGGTAGCACACGCTGTCTCTGCCTGGTCTGCTCACATGTCCCTGTCGTGTGTTTCTTAGACAAGGACGAGTGCTCGAAGGACAACGGTGGCTGCCAGCACGAGTGCATCAACACCGTGGGCAGCTACGTCTGTCAGTGCCGCAACGGGTTCGTGTTGCACGAGAACAAGCATGACTGCAAGGAAGGTAAGGAATTGTAAAATTCCAGAGCTGTGGTATCTACTATCTAATGCATTATTAAACACAGGGCTAGATTTTTCTATGGGGAAGACTGGTGATGTTGCCATAAGCTCCCACTACAGGAGTGTGTCTCCCCACGGCCAGATTGAACCAACATCCACCCTTCAGACACTGCTTTCTGGGTTTATAGAATCCTAGAATCACAGAATGCTCAAGGTTGGCAGGGACCTCTCGAGGTCATCTAGTCCAACCCCCTGCACACGCAGGGTCACCTAGAGCACGTGGCACAGGACTGCATCCATGCCCACATTCAAGTCTCTTCTTCCTATTTGCAATCTCATGGCTCCAAGAAAACATTAGCCTCTGGTGTCTGACGCAGAATTTAGGCTATCTGTAAATGAAGTATGCAATATCATGTTAGCTACTCTAATTTCTCCAGGCTGTGTCTAGCATGGGGGTAATTTGCTAGTAGGGGTATGTCCTTGCTGACTCACTTTCATTGTCACTGAAGTTGAAATCATTTTCCTCCCCTAGAAGATTCCTGTTGAATAATTTTCTGATGCCTATAAAGTGCTTAAGTTAAAAAACTAAATGCAGGAGGAGGTGAAACAGATTTTTACTTCCTGCCTTCCTTACGTTTTAGTTGTTTTATTTATTAGTAGAGAGGAACTTCTGGTGATTCAGTTATGGTGCAACGGGATGTGAATGACTAAGTTGTTCTCGGTAGATCGTTTTAGCCATTTTCCAGTTTGATGTATGTCTAGACACTATGGTTTAGTAATCGGAATAATTGCTCTGTAGCTGCAATATGGGTGTTAGTGGGAACAGATGAAACAAAATGCTTTAATACGTTTTAAAATACGTCTTGAAATTGGATTGCCAAGGTTTCTCTTATGGATTTTCATACTTGTAAGGAAAACAGAACAGGAGGAATAGCAAACTATTGCACTTTAATACTTTATATTATTTTACATTACTTATTTCCAAAAAATGGCAATCCATGGTAAACAACGGCATACATTTTGTGGCAGTTGGTTAACAAATGTGCTGGATTAGTTGCTGCAAATTGTTTGCCAAAGCGGGTGAGCATGGTGGTGCCCACCACCTTAGCTATCTCCCTAAGGATCCTTTCCATAAAGTGAGTCCTTGATTTAAAAACAAAGAAACAAAAAAGTACTTTTCTGAATGGAGATTTCGAGATTAATCAAATCTGTTGTTTTTGGTACAGCTGAGTGCGAGCAGAGGATCCATAGCCCT